TTAGAGCATGTGAACATATAGCTGTGAGAAAGGGAACGTACAATATTTTGGTCCTAAAAGAGGCTTTTTAAAGGGATAGATGTTTGCATCTCTTTCAACATGCTAAATTTCATGTTTCTGGTGCTTAAAAATATTTATTCAGTTTTTGAGGGAAACCTGTCCTGCTTTGCTTTCAGTGCTTCCTGCTTTCATAAGCTTTGACACCGAGTGTGAAAGAACATCAGGCTTAAAAGGAACACACCTAAATTTTGGGGAAATAGCCCTACTGCCTGCACAAAGTGAGCTCTTTTTTAGAGGTAAAGGTTGAGCTTGTGACCAGTTTGCACTGTTTCTAATATGCTAACATTTGTTTTAATTGTTCCTTTTAATAACTACATTGCAGTAAATGTGTTTTTTCCAGGGAGGAGTCAGTCCCTTAACCTCATACTACTACTGATTTCAGGGGGAGCTTAGCATGAAAATTGGTGAAACTGTAGGGTCTTCTATGAGTTGATGGTTCGGGTATTGTTGTTTCCTTTTGCTGGAAGGACCTAGGGAACAAGTGATTCCACCCCCAAGTCTGGCCATGGTTTTCATTTCCTATGCTAATGAATATTTTGTAACACAGGAGTACAGAAATGGTGGCTGGAAATAGCACTCCATTGTGTTTTGGAGCAGAAAACCACATGCACACACTAAAACAGGGTAAGAATAAAATTTGACAGTATTTGTGGGGTATGTGTGGGGTATTAAGTTGGCCAGAGGATTCAGAAGGGAAGTCTGCAGCAAGAGAGCCATCCCAGGGTCCCAGGGGCTTATGCCAGCATTACTTGAGTTTAGCACTGACAAACACCTGGTTTTAGTTGCATGGAGCCATTATTTAATGATAGAACACTGGAAAAAGATTGCATAGGACTGGCAGGAAGGGTGACATCTTTGTGGCAGTGCATTGTATGAAATTAGCCTGTGGAGGAGACAGGGACAAAACTAAGGCTTGGTGTGACAACAGGTAACCCTCTCACCAGATAGTCTATATTCAGAAACAAATAGAGCAAATATCCCTTCTTTTGGTTTTTATGTTTATTTCTCTTCTTGCTAGACTTGGAAATTAGAAGGCACCTGTGCTTTAGTCTGAGAAATTAAAGTACCTCTCTAACTTGAGCTCATCATGTGGAGGCAGAAGCTCTGCTACCTGTGTGAATGAATGATGCAGTCGGGATTCAGTGTTAGTAGTGGCAGTGGTCTAGCACCCAGTAAAGAATTTTCATTTTAAACAGCTGTCAAATAATGAGAGATTTTGCATGTACAAAGACTGGCATTGCACATGTGAGGGAAAGCTTGGGCATATTCACTTAATTTGATATGGAAATACAACAGCATAGCAAGAATGACTCCTTACAGATAAAGACAAAATACACAGATTGATATTGCAGCTCAGTTTTCTGCCACTTCACTGGTACAAGCTTGGGTTGTGGTATTGCCCCTGTGGGAGCAGTTTTAAAGACATACAGTTATTTGTCATATTAAAAGCATAAATGTTTGTGCCATCTTCATTTCCTGAGCCCACTGCAGGATGAGAAAAGGGAATGGTGTTACTGATCAGAGGTGGGAGAGCTGGAGGATGTCTAAGGAAGGCTTTGGATGAGAGCACAAGTGGAAGTAAAGGAAAGCAGGAGACTGAAAGTGAGGGTTTTTTATATACTTTATTTCTGCCTCCCTCCTCAGTAGGCTCGCTTGAGCCTCTTTGCAGATAATCGAGAACAGCAGCAAGAGTTGGGTTAAGTAAAAGTTAATAAATAAAATGAGTAACATACGTTAGGTGATTCTCTGAAAAAAATGGTGACTGTTTCCTTCTGAGAGACTGTGTCAATGTTCAAAGTTTTTTGGGTGTTCCCCCCCCCCCCCTTTTTTTTTTTTTTTTTTTTTTTTTTTTTTTTTTTTTTTTTTTTTGGCACTTCTCCAAAGTAAAGAAAACACATAATCAGGTATTTAAGTAGAGGATGTTTCTGAATCAGGTTTATGAGATACTCTGCTCCAGTTTTGCTAAAGGAAATTTTATTAAAACACAAGTCCTGACTCATCTGTTTTACATCCTTTCATTGTAAAATTCAACTCTGCCAGGGTTAATAAATGACTATTTTAGCCTAGTATTGGATGAAAAGGCTAATATTGCTACAGTAACTTCTGAATGCATCTGGTAATCGGAACTAATTTAAACAAACAAAACCAACAAAAAAGAATTTATGAAGACCACTCATTTCCATCTTTAATCTGTGCAGCTGATCAGGTGTCTGCATTAGGACATTAGGAATTTCTGTAGGTAGCCCCTGGTATTCAAGAGCTTTGCTCTGAAGACCTCAGGAGACCTATCTCAAAGTATTGACATCGTTATGTGAATGAAGGGGTAGAAAAAGCACCTTTGGATATTTCCAGATCAAAAAAGCCTTTTGAAAACTCTTAATAGGTAATCAACTTTTTGATGACTAAAAATATGTGTATAAAGTCATGAAATGTCCTGATTTGGAAGGGATCCATAAAGATTGTTGAGTGAGTGCCACTCCTTGCAGGACTACCTAACACTAAACCACATGACTGAGACTGTCATCCAGAGGCTCCTTGAACTCTGACAGCCTTGTGCCGTGACCACTTCCCTGGGGAGCCTGTTCCACTGACTGTCCTCTCAGTGAACCACCTTTTCCTAATGTCCAAATGGGCATGGGAGAGATCTGATCTTGTCCATAATTGCTGGGAGGGTCAGCAGACTTTCTCCCATTAATACAAGCAGACTGTTTTGCTTCCTGTTGGCATACATGGAGAAGTGTTATGCACTTCTTCCTACAAGTATTTTTAGGGTTAATTTTGATTGTCATAATATTTAAATGTTTTATGCCCTGCTGATCTGTAAAGTAGAAAAAACACCCCAACTTCTTAAGTAAATGTTTTAGATTGTATGTTTTATATTTGCGTTGTGTTGTTGTTGTTAATTTGATTTTGATTATTTATTTTTGAGTGGCACTGGCTAGGGTTTTAGGAAATTATCCTTGACATAGCTTTGTACTTAGCCCCAGTCTGTTGTTTGTAAAATTTTGGACAAAGTGCTAGTTATCTTTACCAGCCAAAGAGCTTGTACATGGGGGAAATAAAGCCTTTTTATATTGTCATTGGACTGTATAAGCTGTCAATTATCCATAGTATTGCACGTGCTGTAACTGTTGAATAGTTCCATTGACTGATAAGTTCTTTTTCCCAAATACTGTTCCTGCTTTGAGGAGTTATTTTGACACCTGTATTTTTAAACTTTTGAATAAAGTAATACAAATACTGTTGAACTTGCTGTAGTCTTTAGGTTTTCCAGCTGTGTTTGGGTCTATATGGGGTTATCAGGTTTTATGCTAAATATTAGCTAAGAGTCTGCTACTTGAGTATTGTATTACAGTACTGTAAAGGAATTTTATAACAATACAAATGGGAACTTAACCCATATTGGCTTTGCAGAGAACTTCAAAAACTACAGTCAGACTCTAATCACATACAGTTATCTATAATAAAATTATTATTTCTGGCACTTGGACATCTAAAAATCATTAAGATTCAGCAGTTCTTAAATGCAAAAGAAAATATTGATTACAATTTGGAAGCCTGCTATGAGTTATGGAGCACAGCTATATATTTTCATCTTTTTCTCTTTAAAAATTAATTTGTTCCTTTTCTGCCCATTGTATAAATGGATGCATTGTTCAAGGTGTGTGGAGAAGTAAGATGAGCCCATAGCTGCTTTCTTTTTCAGCTATAAGAATTGAAAAGGTTCATGGAGTTGTTTCTTCTTGTCATGAACACATTAGGTACCTGAAAATTGTGTCATCTGCTGCAAGATATTTTCAGAAATAACTGGAATATGTGGAAGGACATACCCTTCACATGGTAGCAGTTGTTCCTCCTTTGACAATCTGACCTCTTTGGCATTGGGTTTTCTGAGTAACTGAGTCACCTGGTCTTGTGCTCTGGTCAGTCAAAAGATGACTTGCTTTTCCAGGTAATCTTTCCTTTGCAGTTGGAAATGGCACATTCTTTACCTTCAGAGTATGTAGAGATAAAAGAAGCAGCAAACAGAGATAAAGCAGTAAAGGCAGGTGCTACTATAGTTTACCAGCCTCTGGAACATTTCACCTGTCCTTTTATCTAAGTGTTTTGTAACTCGCTGGTTTTCTGAGGTAGGTACAGCCAGCAGGCCCCCAACCTTCTGCGTGAGGACACAGAGAAATGTCCTCGGGAGGTGGCATGTCCCAGGGGCTGCCTGTGACTCTGTGACCTCCGTGTGGAGCCGCGGAATCGCCGGCCCTTGGTCAGCGCTCCCCGGGGCAGGAGCGGCAGGAACACGCTCGGGCAGTTCTTCAACAGCTGCCTGGCTTCCTTCTGGCTCCTGGGTACATTTCAAGGTTTTGGCCTTGCTTTCTTTCAAGCCTAATGTGACTTGAGCTCCGGCTAAGAGGCTGCCTGCTTTTTTTTTTTTTTTTTTTTTTTTTTTTTTTTTTTTAATCCAACATAGCAATTAATGTCAACTGGTTTACTTGACCTAGATCATCCTAGTTTTTAATGTCAAGTAGCCATTGGCAGGAAGTTCTTCGAGAAGTACTTCTGCCTGTGGAATGTGCTCCCAACCTGGGCTGGTGGAGTCGGCTGGCTGGGCAGGCTCTGCGCCAGGCCGATCTTATTTCTTTGCCTATGGAGATGAGGGATGGCTCAGGGCATCTCCTGTTCTCCTTTGCCCCGGAAGAAAAGCAGGTTAATGTGAGTTTATAATCACTGCACCAAGATTTTTCTACTTGAGCCATGTGGGAAGATAAGTGGAATGAATATATGTGAAAGAAAAAATAGCATGCATGCCTTAGTATGGAAGGGCTTTCTTCCTGAGAGAATTTAATTGAATGTTTTGCATGAAATGAAAGCAAAAGACGTTTCCTCACACAGACCAGTTTAAAAGTGTGACAAGTTAAATTTAGATAAGTGCTATTTTCTTTCAGCTTTGTGAAAGACTCTACAGCCAGGCATGGAAAGTTTCCTTCCTGCTGGGAGAGATTTGTCAAACCACTAAAGCCATCACTAAATGCTTTAAGGTAAATCACCATCTCCAGGTTTCACAGCTGAACAGGCTGTGCTGATAGGGCCCACTTTGGCCCAGGGAAAGGTGTTTGGTGAATTTTTGTAGCTGTGTCGTTCGTTGTTTAGTTGTTGGACCAAAATGTTCAGGATCAAAAGCAGTTTTGAGGAGGAGGGATTTTGTCTGGAGTGCTACATGACAACTGCATGCCAAAGCTGGAGTGACAAACTGTTGGAATATAAATACAGTCCCAACTTTGGCCTGGAAAGGCTCTGTTCTACAACCACTGTGGGATGTCTGAGGGTTTGTTGGCAAATGCTCAACAGCCAACCGAGATGACTGGTTATAAAGGATGTGAGGAAGGAAGAGGGGAGATAAATTTCACCTAAAGCAACTAAGACTTGTTAGTTCAGTGTGGAACCAATTTCTAACAGTACATCAATATCATGTCTCTTTTTGCTCAGGTGAGACACTGCTTGGCCCTACAGAATGAGGGAGTTCAGCTTGCCATGTTTGCTTTGGACAGCATAGAAAAAAAAAAATTAGTTACCTCCCTTTCCTGAACATATTTTAACCCTTTTCTTGTCAGTCTGGATTCTGGAGTGCTTTGGGAATATGGTTTAGGAGGAGAAAGAAGAGGAATTAAATGTTAGAAGTAAGGAAAAAAAAAGTTATTTGTTTCTGGGAAAGGCAAGGAAATAAATCAAAAGTAGAATTAGGAAACCTGAGAATACTAATTGCTATAGTTCTTGTCTGTCTAGTAAAAATGAGGACTCTACAAGCATAAGTAAGAGATAATGGAGGTGATAAACCTGAGCAGGTAGCTTGTTTCAAAGTCAAATTAAGATTTGCTGTTTTCAGTAGATACTGGGTAATATTTTTAAGTATAGGACAAAGGGAAAAAGGTTTAGGATTTGAGAACTTGAGGAAATAAGGTAGAAGAAAATATATAGGTACACCTAAAGAGAGATATTTTGATAAAATGTTCTTTGAAGACTGGCAACAAAAAGGAAGTTTCCGTTCTAATGAGAAAAAGTTGCTACCCAGAATCAAGCAATTCTTGTGACATCTGAGAGGAAAGGTACTGAAGGAATAAGTACAAAGTGACAATTAATAAATAAACACATTAATTTGAGTCATGTAACTGAAAGCAGTTGTGTGAAGGACTGGTGTTACCCGGGATCAGGCACCCACTGTATTGAGAGGGAAATGCTGGGAACTTATAGAAACAGTGCTTTGTTACTCATTTCTAACCTGGGAGGATTAAGCTGATGTTAGGACAGTGTGGATTTTGTCTCACCTGTTTTATTAAGGTCTAACTCTTGAGTGGAGTGGAGGGAAAGCCCTAAATGTATCCAGCAAAGAGAAACAGGAATCCTGAAGAACTCCTGTCAGGTGAGAAGCAGAAGCAGGCACTTGTAGGATGTGATTCATTTGACCTCCTTTTGACATGTTCTGTAGGAGGAGTTCAGTCCAAGAGCTGAGTTCTTCCCAGGGAGGCAAACATGACCTGTTCAGATACAGACACCTACACTGTAAACATCTTCATTTGGTCAAGTGAATCCTGGCTTGGCATCCACATCTAAGAATGGGAAGAGAAGGTTGCTCTGTTATTATGGCTTGTGGTTAAGTGTCAGATGCCCTCCATCCTACCTGAGTAAAAGACTCAACACCTTTCCAAAATGGAAGTTGGCATTCCGGGGCCTCCAGAGGTCTGCCCAGGTCGGGCCAGCAATTCCTGCTGAGGCACTGTGAGGGCATGGCCCTTGTGCCATCTCTGTGTGGGCAGTCACCAACCCTGGTGACTCCCTGCTCCTCTGGTGTTGGTACCCACGGACACCGGGGTGGATCCCAGCTCTGGAGGCACAGTCCTGGTGGGACCTGAGCGCACGTGGGCAGCTCTGGAGCAGGGGCACGCTTCCAGGAGCTGGGAGCAGTGGTTGATGGAGTGTCCCTGTGGCAGTGAGTGATTTACAGGTGAGCGTGTGCGGGTGTGACAGCCGGCTACACCGTGAGCTCCATGGGGACACTGGTGCTGAGAGCAGGGGTCTGTGCTGCTGACAGCCCTGGTGCTCACCTGTACATCACGCCGTGCGAGCTTGGTGGGCCATGGGCAGCAAATGATTTATTGAACCTGGTTCCTGGGTGAAGTTGGAGTGTTGCCCTGTGTTGGTGAATAGGGTCACATAAAGCACAAGAACCCAGGTTTTTTTGTTACTAAGTCAGTAGTTTTGGACTATAAGTAATATGCAGATGTTACCACTGTGTTGTTTCTGTTATATCCATACAAATGTGTTTTTATTGCTTCATGGGCTTGAGATTTTTGTTTATGCTGCAAAACTCCCAAATAAATAGACACGTGTATCTGTATTTAGTTGGAAAACTCTGGGGTTTTTTTCTCCTGAATTTTTTGGTGGTTTATTTAGAATACCAGCATATTATATGGTAGGTGCAGTATTCTTTCCCTGGGTATGCAATATACGTGATGTCTCTGGAAAAGATTTTTTTTTTTTTTAGTTTTTTAAGAACAAAACAGAATAGCTTTACTATTTCATCATTGTGAAATGTGTTCAAGTTAAATTTTGTGGGAAGTTTTGATACAGAAGAGATTTATTCTCATTACCCTAATTTTAATTTGATTTTAAGTTGTATTAAAATTGAAGGCACTGGACTAATCCTTTTTAAAGAAAAGGACAAGTGTCACATTTAGTGTTATTATGAATTGTTTTATTCAAGTATATTTTAAAAAGTAGCCTTGTTGAGAATGTCTTCATTTTTATTGCAGAAAAATGTAAACATATTCTCATTATTGCACCTATTTTCTTAAAGTGCTCATTGTCTCTGTGCAGGCTCATTTTATAATGTATGCATCTGGTAATGAAAATAATAATTAAATTCTTTCACAATGAAACAGTGATTGGGGGAGGGCTGGGGGCGGAGAAAGCTCAGGCAATAGTAGCAGCTGAATTCATACCCAGCAAAGCTATAGCTAATTCACTAGTAAGGCTGATTCTACCTTTAATGCATTTTAAAGCCTAATGTTACATTTTTAAAGAGATGGTTCTCACTTTTTTTTTCCCTAATTGGCACTTCATATTTGGCAGTACCACTTTCCTTCTTCCCTCCTTTTATTCTTCCAGTATTTTTTTTCCCTGTTTCATGCTCCCCAGCCCTCCACAAGTTTTCTCCCCGTCCCCATGTGTGTTTTCTGATCTTCAGCCATTGAGGAATTGCTCTTGTACTGGGGCTGTGAGTGACCCAGGCACTGACTTGGAAGGGCTTGAAGAAGATGCTACTGGGGAGGTTTGGGAGGTCCGAGAGATTGTGCTTCTGTTGATCTAAAAAGTGCACAGGGTTATGAGGCAGGCTGTATGACCAAACCCTAGCAAAGTCTCTCAGTTCTGGGAAGGACAAGGATGTCACCTGGAGCTGAGTAGCAAAACCAAGCTGATGTGGATTAAGATACAATATTTGGGTAAGTGCATGCATGCTGATTAAACGTAGGAAATGATGTAACATAGCTGACCAAAAGTATCTGGTTGATATACTTTTTTAGTTCTTAATCTCTTTGCTTTTCATTGTATCATTGCTAATTTTATTTGTTTGGGATGATGTGTTCTCTTAATTCTTTTTTATCTGGGTTGGGTTTTTTTGGTTGTTTTTTTCTGAATCCTTGCCTTTTTCTTTTTAAATCTGGGTTGGGTGCTTTTTGGTGTGTTTTTTGTTTATTTTTAAATTTTTTGTTCTTTATTTACGCCTTATGCCTAAGCAGTGTTTACTTTGCTGTATATCCTTCCTGTCTCTTTCATGGCACATTCAAAGACATTTACTCTTCAGTCAAGTCTTGAAAATGATAGAAGCAGCATCAAATGTTTTGAGACATTAGGAAACTTCTGAGAGTGCCCAAGCTCAGTGTAGCCCTGGATGTCTGTGTTAATGTTGTTGTGCAGGCACAGAATAATGCTGAAATAGTCTCACAGCCTTGGACTGTGTAATGATTCCTCTTGTGTAACACAGGGAGGGAAAATGAGGTGGGAAAGGTGTCAAGCCTTGGCTGGTATGTGGGATTCAGCCTGGGGGAGCTGTGGTACCAAGGCTCATCCTTTTCAGAATGCCTTTCACTCATATCTAAGGTCTGGGGTGGTCTGAATCCATATCAAATATGATTTTTGGAAGCACCAATCTGACCCATTATGAGTGCTGCACGTTTGGTATGGTGTCAGTGTTTCCTACTTGAGATTAATCACTGTTACATCTTAATGAAATGGATGTACAACCTACTTTATTAAAAAAGGCAAATGGTGTACAATATTAAAGATCTAGAAGGTGCACTAAAATGATGGCATGCAATAATAAGATTTACCTTGTGTGAACAAAAAGCAAAGTGACTGTATTTGAAGCTGCTGCTCCATCATTAATTTAGAAACTAATTTTGGTTTTCCTTGAACTTGTATAAGCACGCTGTTTCAGCCACCACCTGCAGTAATTCATTCTGCCACCCTTAGCATTTGGTACTTCTGCAGGACTGATCTATTTAATGTGTTTTCAATCAGTGCTTTGAAAATCTGTTATTTCAGAATGTCTTCTTTCTTGATGAGAATTCAATCTGGATCCTTTAACATCTTCATCACAAACATCTGAGGTCACTCTCACCCTTTTTTTTGTTTTGTTGACATTTCTTCCTTTAGACCTTAAAGGAGAACAAATAAGTTTTCCTGTTTGCCCTCAACAGCTGTATCCATCCCCCCCCTTCTTTTTTTTAGTGTAGTGTGGATTATTTAAAATATACTCCCCTTGTTACCTTCTTCTAGAGTAAGTGTTCTTTTCTGTAAACTTGAGGGGGGGAAAGAAAAATTTGGTGATGAAAAGCCGAGTTTGTCATGGCAAAAGTCTTGAGTTTCTTCGGGGGTTTTGCAACTTTGTGTGCCCATTGCAAAAGTTTTGTTTTGTGTGACAAAACCTGATGGCAGACTGTAAATCTGCAGCTTGGTTTCTGCTGTTCTCTTTGGCTGTTAT